GGTTTTCATTTGAGAGAGTCTGTTCGTGATTACCAGCTTTTGTCGACTCAGTTGGAAAGTTCACGCTCCCCCCCCCTCCAAGCTTTGGCGACCCATAAAATTGCTTTCACTCCAAAAAGAGGGTTGACGGAGGGGAGAAAGAAAATTTTCTCTCGCTTTGAAAACTTGCGGGGAGCCTTCTGTCATTTTTCATGTTGCCACCACAGAAGATTCGGATCACAGGGAACTGAATTTCCTTTCCAATCTGGTTCAGCCCCCTCTACATGTCCACACATCCCTTCCCGCTCCCTCCCTTCGGCGCATTTATTTTCTTCATTTTAATGTTCCCTGGGCGCTTGCAGCAGACTTCTATTTAAACAGAATCCGATTCGGGTTGGCTTCGCTTCCACACCAGCGGTAACCACGGGATCGTTTTCGGGAATTTTGCCCCGAGTCTCATCTAGCAGTCAATTGACTTTCTGAGAAGAAAAATAAGCGGAGAGATGCCTATTATTTTTTTACATTGATTTCACTAATTTTTATTTTTATTTTTTGCATTTTTGTGCTCCGCGATGGCCCTGTGAGGCAATGAGGTGATTTTCGTCTTAATGGTCTCTTATTCCTACCCCACCCCTATATACCTCAAAATGTAGTTGGGGGGCTTTCTGCTCATCCTACTGCGTGGGGGGGGGGGCGGCGGCTCTGGAATCATGTCCCCAAATCGGCACCGAAGACGTCCCCCCACCCCGAAGGCAAGTTGCGCCACTATCGACGCGATACAGTCTTTCCCCCTTGACAAGAAATCCATTGACACTGGTTTGAAGCAGATCCCAATTACTGTATATCGGTTGTACTGTCCCTAGCTTTTAAGTCTGTCGCTTCCCGCCCTGCGAAACAAGGAAGACATGGGGAGCGGGAACCTTCACACTTCGACGTGAGCTCCCCCCCCTCCCCACTTTCAGCTCGGACGCTGAAATCTATTAGGCGACCGCGCGTCCTCCTGCGCGAGAGAATTTGGACGGCTTACACAGCCCCTTCTTCACATTTTAAGCGCCTTTACTGAGAAAATCCTTCCGACTCCAGTGGACGTGGCTGCAAAGCGGACGTTATTTTTTCTCCCCTCTGAAGTAAAGAAAGCCCTGTTGAACTCAGGGGAATTTGTTTCGGGGAAAACGTGGCAAGGATGGGGAGGCCGGTGTCCTTAGGATCCGGCCCAAGTTCGGCTAACTACAGGATCCTAACCATGTTTACTCGGAAGCAAGTCCCGGTGACTTCTTTGGGGACTATCGAATATCTTTTTGCAGAAAACGTGGGTGTGTGTGCTTGTGTAACACGCATGCGGCTTAGAACAGAAGCTAGATTGTACATGACAGTTGAATATGAGGGAAATTGGGACATCTAGGACCTGACCAAGAAAGAGGGCAGTAAATATAAATAAAATAAAATCCAAATTATTTCCAGGAGTTGGGCTCAAAGAACAGAAAACTTTCTGCCCCTCTAGAACAGAGAGACTCCTTTTTTTCTTTCTAGCTGTCTCTCCTTATCCCGTCGGCAGCATAGAAAATGTTCTGGAGTGATTTACGTAAGTCCCATCGCTGGAAGACGCCACAGGGGCAGAAATAAAAATAAATATAAGAGTTGTTTTTTTCTTTCTTGTAAAAGTTTTCCACTTTCTGATATTCCTCCCTCCATTTCGAATAAACCAAATAATGTTACAATAATACAAATAATAAAAACAAGGATCAATTAACACATCTTGACAATTCCCCGCACCCCTTCCTTGTTATTTTGGACGCCAGTTCTAAATAAGCACATGAGCAAATGAGATTTAAATTGGGCCGATATTACTCCTAAGTTTTGACAGTTCGAATTCTTCGGCTCACTTGTTCCTAGTTGACTTTTCAGTGGAAGATCTCCACCTCCGAGTTCAGAGGTAAACCGTCATGGCTGGAAAATCCTACTGTCCCCCTCAGTCAAGTCGAAGTACTTTACTCAAAGTATGATTTGAGCAAAACGAGCTGCTTGGGAGGAAACCTCGCGGTTTTAGCCCTGAGCCACTTCTGCTGAAAGTGCTTGGAAACTCCCGCGGCAAAAGCGCGGCTTCACACGAAACCAGCTGCAGCGCATCGCCGTCCCGTGTCACCGACGTTTCCATGTTATGTACGTTCGATTTGCTCACGGCTTTTTATCTGGAAATAGGCACACTAAATAGTAAGGGTGTTGTTGTGGTTTTTTGTTTTATTTTACTTAAGAAGGGGGCACACACACATAGATTTGGGGGCACACACACACATCTTCGTAAAGCTAAAGTCCCACGAGAAAGGGGTTTTGAACAAGGTCCGCACGTGGCAAAAAAAGAAGGGCGAAGCAGCTCCAGAAGCTCCAGAAGTGGAAACTGGTCTCACACTGTTATGCACGCCTTCGTTTCACTACGGTTCTGCTTCTAACTTTGCCTAGGATTGCAGTGAAACTTTAAAAGTAACTTGACTTTGTGAATCAGTTGGCGTAATATGGTTCTGCAGTGATTTGTTCGGTAAGAATGGCAATGGGGTCGCGACGCACTTAGAGCTAAGGCGAGCGCTGTGTGTGTTTGTGGTCATTTTTTGCTACTTTTCAGTTCCGGGCCAACCTAAAGCCCGTCACGTCTTCGAATGGATGGATCGGGGCTCTTCCTGCTGTTCATTTGAACCGAGCATCTGCCACCTTCCAAATCTCCTTCCTCGTGGCCGTGGGGGCTTCCCTCCCTCCTCCCAAGATGTGCGAAAGAGCCGCCCCCGCGCAGTCCCCGCGATCCGAGGATGACAGAAAAGGGCCGAGTTCCTTGGGGGTGTGGGAGAGTGGGAGTTACAGGAAATGGAAGGGAAACCGGACGATTCCCACCGACCCCCCCCCTTCCCTGGATCTCCCAGGAAAACTCTGGAAGCCTGGCAGACAGGCAACGATGCTGCAGGCAGCCAATGTCCGCATCCGACTTCTTCAAGAGACGTCATGCATTGGGAGTCGTGCTACTCGAGAGGAAATAGCTCAGGGACACGGGAGGATCTGAGAGATCGTTTGCCAGGGGAAGATCGATCGGGAGGCAGGAGCGCCCTGGAGAATTAAGTCCTGCCCCCCCCCCATCATTTCACAACCTTTTTATTCTCAGGTCTGGCACAAGCCATTGTCTGTGGACTGGAGAGGGAGTCCTTGCGGGGAGTCGGAAGAGGGATGAGGATGGGGAAGAGGGCCATTCATTGCCCCAAGGAAGGAGGGAGGGAAGATGAGGAGGCAGCGGTGATGCCTCCTTCCCAGTGCTCCTGTGTGGGAAAAGGACTTCAAGAAGTTCGGATGGGATAGGACCCAGGAAGGGTGGCTCTTCGCGAGGCATCCCTCGAATATCCTCCCCCAAAAAGGAAGCAAGACCCTCAAGCAGACCAGTCGGTCAGACTTTGATGCGCTCAAGCCGCTTTTTAGAAAATTTCTAGCATTTTCTCCTCCTCCGAACAGGTTCGAAATGTTCTTATTTCCATTTTCGAGACGATCGTCACCTCCGTATTAGCAAGAGCACAACCCCCTTTCTTAGCCTCATGGGATGGTTAACCTGAGTGTAAACAAACGGGGCCAAGTTTCGAAGTGATTCGAGGACCGAGGCAGAGAAAAGGATGGAGGTGGAGACAGTCGGCAAAGGGGGTCTTTGTTTGCCGGGACAGGGCTACACAGGACGGCTGCGGGGGGACAGAAGGTGTCGCAGTTTGAGGTGGGAGCGAAGCGCTGAACCGGCCGGACAGGCGGACCAGGAGCGCGCGGCCCCACCGAGACAAGGGCCTAAGTGTGACAGCATCCCCTCACACCTGCTCGGTGGTACCTTGTGCACTAGAAGGCCGAGCATTTGCGCTCCGACTCCGTGAATCCGGAGCAGGTTGCTTCGATTCCCTTTACTAACCCGAATCTCCACCTCACCCCACCCGCAGTCCCCAAATCTCGCCGTTTCCGGCTCTTTGACCAACGTGAGATGAAGCTAAGCCCCACGATTTCGTGCTGGTTCATTCGACGTGCCCCTGAGTCACTGAGCCGGAAACGAGCGGCCTTAAGCCATCTAGACCGCACCCCCCTCCAAACTCGGTTAGACGGTTACTCGAATTATACGCCACTGGTATGCTTTGGGTTGCAGCAGCCTTTAAGACACATAATATGCTGGGGGTTGTGTGCATGCGTGTATGTGGATGTCTGGATGGTGCTGGTGCGTGCAGGTAAAGAAACCGGGCGTGCTGTTTTGCTAGAGCTCTTACTTCCAGCAAGGAAGATGAGAGGGGAAGCAGCGTTCACTGGACAGCTGCCTGAAAAGCCATCCCACCCCCGTCTAAGAGATTCCTTCCCATCCTTTAGTCAATTGCACTTGTTCACGTGGTTGCCTCGCGTTAGCTCAGTCAGTAGATCTCAGGGTCGTGGGTTCGAGTTTCACGTGGGACAAAAGATTCCTGCATTGCAGGGGGTTGAACTAGATGATCTGCGTGGTCCCTTCCAACTCTAAATTCTATGCGTTACTCCAAGAACCTTCTTGACTCCGCAGTCTCCGACGCCTCTAGGCCACGTTGGCTGCTTATTCACCGTAAGCGCATCTCTGCAGCAGGGACGGGGCGGGCGCGTGGAAACCACGGCTTGCCCGACGGGGCGGTCTGGTCTGCCGCGAAGCCGCCTCGGAAGCAGCTCGGCGGCCCCCTCTCCCTTTCCTCTGCCGCGGGCTCTTTAACGGCTCATTAGCCAATAAGAATGGCTAATCGCCTCCCGCAGTTCCCCGCTCCCCGCCCACGGGGGCGGCGCGGTTAGCCATTGGCTGCCTTTGCTCCACCAAAGGGGGCTAATTACCATGCGGCGAGCGGCTCTTATAGGCTCCGAGGGGTGCCAGTCAGGCGCGCCTGCTCTCCGCCCTCCCGCGCTCCAGCCTGGCCGGCCAAGGAGCGCTGCTGCGCTCGCCACTTGCTGCAACCGCGAGCGGGACTAGACGGGAAGCGAGCGAGCGCTGCTGCTGCCGCCGCCTCGCCTCCCCCCCCCCCGCCGCCTCCTGCGCTCGCCTCGCCGTCCGGGCCCCGCGAGCCATGGTGCCGGGGTTGCCTCCCGCGGGCTGCAGCCTATGGGCCAGCTGCGCCTGAGCGGCGGCGCCCGCCTGCCCCCGATGCCCCCGGCGCCCCTGCCTCGCCGCCGCTGCTTCCCCCGCCGGGGCGGAGGAGGCTGCTCGCGCTGCTGCTCTTCGCCATGCTCGCCTTGTGGCTCTGCGTGCTCTATTCGTGCGCCGCCGGGGCTTGCGCCTCCGCCGCGCCGGGTCTGCTGCTGCTGCGCGGCTCGGCGCCTCCTGCCCGGCGGGCGCACAACCCCGCGGCGCTCTCCAAGCTGCTGCTGCTGCGGGCGCCGGGCTCCAAGGGCCAGCTGAGCCCCGAGCAGGAGAACAACGACGAGGACGATGACGAGGACGACGACGGGGGGAATAACAACAGCAACGGCGGCGCTGCCGCGGATTCTCCTCTCAGCCCCATCTCCAGCTTCCTCAACGGCTCCGGCACCAAGCGGCTGCCCCAGGCGGTGATCATCGGCGTGAAGAAGGGCGGCACTAGGGCGCTGCTCGAGTTCCTGCGGGTGCACCCCGACGTGAGGGCCGTGGGCGCCGAGCCCCACTTCTTCGACCGCAACTACGAGCGGGGACTCACCTGGTACAGGTACGCCCAGCCTTGGGGAGAGCGTCCCGGACCTTTAGCGTAGCCTGGCGCCCCCTTCGTCGGAGGCGAGACGTTAGAAGCCGGTCAGAAGGCGTAGCCCGCCTCCACCGGAGACCCCACGACCCCACCAGGGTGTGAATGGACGGCAACCCGTCCACGTGTCTCCATCGACCCAAAGTGGGAGATTTCCCTCTGCCCCACTCCTAGGGAGAATGCGACTCGCTGAACTCTCTAGCAGTTTGCTGGTTACTTCACCCCCCAAAACACACAGGGCTTTTACTGGGTGTTGGTGGGAGTTGAGCGGGTAAGGTAAGAGAGAGACCCGGGCCGAATCGTTCTGCTTTTCCGTTGCACCAACAGTTACGCGCGGTGAAAGCCACCTCTGAAGCTCTTAGGAGTTTGAGTAGCCTTGACTCCCAAGTAACGGGTTTAGATGCGACTTGTTCGAGGGTTCTCCCTTCTCCCCGGTTTCCCTTCGGGGAAAGAGGGATGCGTTTAAAATGTGTCCGGGACTGTGGATGTGGATGGAAGCGGGAAATAACTGGCGTGGGTCAAGGTGGGAGGTAAGCAAGGGAGGCCACTGGCCCTCCCGGCCGAGCCGCCTTTGGAGCCTGTAAGTGGGCCTGCCCACACGCCGCCTCGAGGGTCCTCTCCAAGCCGTGTTGTTTCGAGGCTCCGGTGGCCTCTCCAAGGTCTCCCCGCGCGGCCCCCAGTGTATCAGGCATCAAGTGTCCGTGACCCTCATGATGGACGGGGTGAGACTCGGCTGCCCTGCAGTTATTGTTCCCAGGAGCCCCGGCGTGGATTAATTCCGCTAGGCGTTTGCATTGGGGGCTGTTTGTGTGCGCGCGTATTGGGCGGGTGGGAGCCGAGTGCCAGGAAGGGAAACTTCCCCCCGCTTCCAAATCGGTTTCAAGCGCCGTAGCCGAACTCGCTCTAGATCCACCCCACTCCCTCTCTCTCTAAAAAGCCCGCAGCCCCATTCAGACGGCAGTGAGGTCCGTGTGTATCTGAGCAGCGCGCCGGCGAGCGAGTTTGAAGGCAGCGCAAGGAGGCGCCGGCCGTGCGCGGAGAGGTAGTGAGCTCTGTTGGGCGAAAGGGAGCACTGCAGCTCCTGCTCCGCCAGCCCGCTCGGGATTCTTCTTATTTTGACACGGGAACCCGGAGATCTGCTGTGCCGACTGAATCGCGGCAAACGCTAATGAAAGTTAACCTTCCATAACTTTCCTGGACCTGCTTTGTGGAGCAAACGCGCCTCCATGGGGTACTTTTTAAGGATCCTGGGATTTAAAACGACAAATAGATCTGGAATGGTTGTGGAGTCCTTTGGGCTGTTTCACGCGTCCTCTGGGGGGTGCGAGGATGGTTTTAAGGCCTCGTAGTAGCGGTCATACCCACCCGATCCTGCCGAGTTTAAGTTCTGCAGGACTGGGAGAAAGAGTTGCCCTTCCCAGTCTAGACAGCGGCGGCTCCACTCGGTCTCCTGCGCGCCTGCTTCCTTGTCATTTTCAACAGCAGCTTCTCGCGCGCTTCACATTTCTCGGTCCTTGGCCGATGGACTTCTCTCTTTGAAATGACGCTTTAGAGAGGAAAAAAAGGGGGAAAGTTTTAAACAAAAATGTTCTATTGAGGGCATGCAGGAAAAATAATCCAGAGTTCAAAATGAGAGCAGAGAGTGGAACGAAAGATCTTAGGCAACGGATTTTCTTAAAATCAGCCTGTGTGGTTTGACTTGCGATCTTGATCTCTCCGTTCTCTTACTAAAGGGGAGAATTTTATTTGCGGGGGGGGGGCAGAAATCCTCCGCTACCTTATGGGGGAAAGTGCTGTAGACACCAGTTATCAAGCCAGCGGCAGGTGGTTCTCTCCTCTCCTTCAGATGCATGGGAGAGCGGGAGATGGTGCGATTAAAAACACCACCACCCTGCAGTTTTTAAAGGGATCTGTCCGCTGACCTTCTGCACTTCATGGGGACTGACTGCAGACCTGCGAAGAGAAGCCTCTGAAGCATCTGTAATGGGATGCGGTCGTCGTCTGTGCAACATGTGTCAGGGCATGGAAATGAATCCTTGTACAGTCGAGGTGTCCATTGATTTATAGGGTGGTGATAACTTGGAGGGAGAGCCTTGTCTGTTATAAATAAAAATGGTTTTGATTTTACATTCCTAGCCCTGCACTCAGTCAGGTGACTTCCACTTCCACCCACCCCCCAAAAAAAACCCCATCTTGCAGAACTTTGAGTGAATCTGTGCAGGGAGATGGAAAAATTACAAATAAAAATTCCAGACCTGCTATGCTAAGCACATGGCCGAGTTTCTGTTTGTGGTTGTTGTTTTTTTTTAGACCATTCTGTTTTAAATAGGACACAATTTAAAACATCTCACAGGGAAGAAGGGTTTGATTAAGGAAGAGCCAGAACAGTGGCAACAATTTAACGTGTACCAATCAATAGATGCAGTTGTTGCATTCAGTAAAGGAAATTTGAGATGTATTTGTTTTTAAAGTAAAATGGAAAGACACAATATAAACGTATTTGGAGACGCCAAGCTTTTTCGCTCATTTAGGGTCACACGAATGCTTCTTGGAGGAATTGTGGGCCAAGTGAGCAAGAGTGCAAAAGCAAAGCAAGGGCTTCCTGCCTTCTGCTCTGGCAGGAGGGTCAAGTCGCTTGTTTGGTAGGCAGGCTGTGCTTGGCCCAGTCTTCCCGGCTCCTTCCTCCCCTGCTCTCCTTTGTCACTCCCACAGCCCAGCGCCACAGCCTTTGATTAGGCAGGCTAGTGCTAATTTTGTTAGCCAAGGCTGTGAAGAGCCGGATCTCTGTTATCCAGGGTGACGGCCTTCAAGGTTTTCTAAAAGATCCTCCCCAAACTACTGCTTGTAGCTAATGAGCAGAGCTGTCAGGAAGACGAAAACCATTAAGTGTTGCTAAAGGCCAAACTAGGGGGGAATTTTCAACTTGCTTAGAAGTTGCGGGTTGGGTGGATGGAATGGGAGCCTGCATTTAAAACTCTTCCTCAACTCTGCCTAAGTGGTTTAACTATTTTTTGGGGGGAAACTTAATCACTGGAAAGCCACATGCTTAAAGGTGTGCATTTGATGTGCAGTTTTGTTAAACGATGAAACTCAAAAGCATTAACACGTAAGGTGGCTGGGAAGGTCTGTGCTGTTTGTCATTCACAGCCGTATTAAAGTAACTAATTTAAAGTACCAATTACCCCCCATTGAACCCCAACTTCACAGGATTTTTATTTTGCATTTGGCATGATTTTGGCTAATGCAACCACTTTTTGATCAAATGTGCATGTCCTCACTTTTCTCGGTGTCAGTCTTATTTTCAGGATGGTTTTTAAAAAGCTGGGCCTTGCTAGATAAGCACAGAGAGTCTGGAGTGCCAGTGACTTGATCGGAAAAGTTTTCAGGTTATGCAAATATGAATTATGCAGATTAGCTGGATGTCCAATTGTTGCAGGCCTTGGAAAGATGCTAGTTGAAAGAATGGGAACCAAACATATGACCACCTTAATTGCCTAGAATAATATTCCGGCATCCTTGAGGAAGCTGAAATGGGTTTAGCACTGGGTTTATGAGCTTTCCTCTCTTCCTCCCTCCAGCCACACAAGCCATGTAGCATGAGATTCTACCTGCTTGGCATATTCAGCACAATCCTGCAGTTTTACTCCTTTTATTTCCTCTTTCTCTCTCTCTGGTCAACTCTCTCTCCTTGAGACTGGCTCAGTGTATGCACAGTTACTTGGGAGTAAGTCACTTTGGATTTGCTGGGGATTCCTCCTGAGTAGACGGGCATAAAAATAACACTGTATGTAGCAGCATCTCTTTTTAAGACTGGCAGCCTTGCATATAGTATCCAAGCTTAGTTGAAGCCACTTTTATGTCAGCTGGAACAATGTTGCCTTAAAGGAGATGACATGTCGAAATAGCAATAGTTACAGGTGCTGATCTGGCTGGTGGCTTTTATTTAACAGGGATGTAACAGTTTTCCTAATTAAGGCCCAACTGAGCCCTTCTACTCCCCCCGCCCCCACTTTGCCAAATAGTCAATCTGCTGCTGTTTAAAGGAAGGACTTCTGTGCAAGAGAAAAATCAATGTGTAGTTAGGCAAATGATAGTTTCTTAAGCTAAACCAATATACACAAACTTGTTCTTTTGAATTGAGGTGTACTTTTTCCTAGGAACTCCCCCCCCCTTTTTTTTTGGAAAATAAAGAAAGACTCCAGCTTAGCACTGCTTTGAGTTGAAGCTGAATTATTAAGGGCAGCTTGATTTCAGCTGCAGCGCACAACATGCTGCTTTAATAGTGGGCTTTGTTTTGTTAAATCACTGTCTACAAAAACTCTGAGAAATAGCTTGGTTCTCTCACAAACAATTCAAGCTGCTGTGAAGTTGTCACGTGACACAAACTGCCCGTGCAGCAACGGCAAACCATTTTTCAGCTGAGTTACTTCAATTTGATTATTATTGAAACTAAACCATCTTAGTCTCCTATATGATTTTAACGAGCTCTTGGATTGGGGTGTTAGTCCTGTTTTAATAAGACTAAATTGCCTTATGGTAGTTCAGCTGGGGACTGTGACTTGTGAGTGGAAGCCATGATACGTAAAGAAGAATAGATTTGGGAGGGATCTATAACGGAGGCAAGAGCCTGAGTGGCAGATTAATGATTTCTGCTTTAAAATACTTTAACAGTTGCAATCAATTAAATGTAGGCTTTAATTTCACTCAGCAGCACCCCCCCTCCAAGAAAGGGCGTTTAGAGTATAACTTACTGTTGTAAACAATGCTTTCTTAAACAGAACCATGTCCCGTCCCTTCCCTTCAGCAACCAAATATTAACAGAAACTAAACTACTATGTGTGCCTTTTCAAAAGTAGTCACCTCCCTTTCAAAAAAGAAAAGAAAAGTAAGCCCCATTTCAATTAATTGGAAATCTTTCCTAAAAGTAAAGTATATAGGACTTCAACTTCGTAAAAACTCCACTGCCA